TTCTGCAGACTTACAAAATACACTATGAGTTCATATTTAACACAATGTTAATGTGGTGATTAATGTAAATAGAATCGTTTTGTCGTTATGACACCGGTGAGTCCCTAATGTAGACTGGAAATCATGGAACTAATTACGGAAGTTATGAACTTCGATCGTTTCCACAATGTTTATGACATGATCTTATCAGTATTTATAAGATCAAACTGTATCTATGTTATCCAAAAAATAAAGAGTGTAATGCTAATGTGTTAATCCATCCCAATACCTGATTTTTGAGAACGTCAAAATTACAATTATTTTTTATGTCATTTATTTATACCGCCATTACAGTAAATAATAATAATTACAGCAAATTATAAATTGGCTGTTTAAAAACAACTTGTGACATTAAGTATGATCCTATATGAGTCTAATTATATACGTTTAAACCAAAATGATTAAAGAAATGACAAAACCGAATAACATATTTTTGTCAGCAGTACCAAAACATAATCATGTCTGTGCCTTCTATTATATCAAAAAGATATCAGGGTTCGTGGTCATTGGCATTTCTGGTTGGTCGTTGCGTCATGGGCTAAGCATGGACATTGCCATCATTATAGACAGTCAACTGTACAGACTTGCAGCGGTGATTCTCGTTGTTGCCGGCTGCAGTGTCGTCATTATTTCAATCATTGGAATTGTTGGAATCAGACAAGAAAACAAGTGTTTCCTCGTCGGAGTAAGTTGAAAGCAATTATTATTTCAGCGGTATTTACCTCCTTCTCACATCATCTGGTTCCACCTAATGTTCTTCAAAATTTTACCGTACTTCACGAGTTATTTATGACTGTAAACTCCTGAGAGAGTTATTGATTTAACACATGATTAAAGGCCTGTTTATACTTTCGATAACGATAACGATAAAAAAGCTAAGAAGCGATTGTTCATAATATAGAAAACAAAAGAAATTAGGGAAGTTTACACTAGGACGATTTGATAACGATTTATCGTGTATACGATAACAAAATATTTTAACAAATCAAATCAGATGACGTCATAATCATGGAAAAACGATAAAGTCGTTGCTACTACTACGATTTTAATTTTTTCCATGATTATGACGTCATCTGATTAGATTGGTCAAAATATGTTGTTATCGCATAACTCATAAATCGTTATCGAATCAATCTAGTGTAAGTATAAACAAGGCCTTAAAGCCTATATTTAGGCTATAATGAAACACTAACATATTTTTTTCCTGTAATTTATCTAGTACATTGTAACGTTGATAGTAATCTTCTGCATGGTATTCGTAGCTGGTGTCTTTTCTGTAGCAATTTTTACCCTGGTGAGTTAATTATATTATGAACTATAATATCACCATCATCATTAATTCACAAAAGTGCATTCTTTGGTTGCAAGGCGCTATACATTGCAACTATTGCACCCTCAAATGCCCTTTATTTGTAACTGTATATCACCATCATCGTTAATTTACAAAGTGCTTTCTTGGTTGCAAAGCGCTATACATTACAACTATTGCATCCTCAAATGCCCTTTATTTGTAACTGTGGAAATGATCATCCTCTATTTCGTTTCCTTTTTTTTTATCTTCCTCCTGATCGTCATCTTAAAACTTCCATCTGCCGTGTTCAACAACCCCATCACGATCTTTTTTTAAAATCATATTTTTCCCTTAACACACTGTAACGTTCTGCTAGGCAATGTATAGAAATAACATTCACAATTAAGCGTAACAGATTAACTATTCTGGTAACCTTTTCTAATTTCTGATAAACATAGGCCTAGCTTTTCATTTTATAAGGGGATTGGCTGTTTCAGTAGTGTATTTTACCTGTTAGCCTGCATTTCTATTCTTTGGCAGTGCTTTTAATTTAGATGTTTTTGTGAGTGTGTTTGTTGCCAAGAGAATTTGAATAGAAAAATAAAATAAAATAAATCTAGTAATTGCCTGTTTTCCGTATGTTTAAAAATGCATGGTGTATTGTGTCTTGTTTTAAGTATTTTTAGTCCTGTTTTGAAATTAATGTGTGATTTAATAATATTTGATTATAACCAATAGGCAGAAAACACTTTAGAGTTTCAGATGCTAAATACGCTAAACAGGCGATATGGTACGGGAGGCAACGAGGACGCAGAAGATCCAATGACTGCCGCATGGAACAACATCCAAGGAACAGTAAGCCTATCAGAAACATTGAAAATCGCATAATTCCATAAAATCGTTTTTACGGATATCATTACTTTGCGTAGCGATTTCTTGGAAGCAATAGGCCTACTTTTCATTTCTGCAGAGGCGAATCCAATAGGGGCATGGGGACAGGTGCCCCCCCCCCCCACCCGTTTTGATACTAAATTTTTAAATTTCAAAGCATATTAAAAT